AAGATGTGCAGCTGATCTCCAACGACAGGTTCAGGAGCGTGGAGCATAGGGTGGTGGCGAAGAACGCCGCGCCGAGGGTCTGGTCAAGATCAAGGAGCTGGTGTCCGATGAGAACCCGCCGTTGTACAGGGAGACCCTCGTCAGAGATTACATCAAACATTACTACTCCATCGGGTTAGATGCGAAAACTGCTATCTCTGATTTCCGGTTGTGATTGTGATAGTAATGTATGGTTGAGCAGACTTTGTAATGCTAAGAAACTAAGAAAGTGACAGTAAAATGGCAGCACTAGTTTGTGCCAGAATAATATGTACAGCACTAGTTTCATTTCATCCCCTGGTGTATTTTACTGGAACAGAAGTACTTTGTTCCATGGTTTGTGAACATCTTCCCCTTAATTATGATCCATGTCAGATCATATAAAAACAGAGGTTGGATCTATGCACCTGCGGGCGGGCAGGGCAGCGAGCATCCAACTGTTTCCTCTAGAATTCTTGATTGCCATTCATTTTGTTTGAGCTGTTCAGCAACATAGGACTTGCCAAATTGTTCAATCTTCAGTTATCTTTCCTATCTGAAAGAGCTGCTGCTCCATACAAATCAGGAGAGAGCTCTTGCTGGGAAGATGATCCTAATCAGTTAGTTAGGCAATGATTCCAAGAGCACGGCGATTAGGCTGCGGACCGAGCGCTTGCCGGAGACCCACCGGAGGCTGCCCTGCCATGAGGCTGGGGCGACGTCGGGTGCGCGCTCGCACGGGAGAATGAGGGGAGGAAGAGGGCGACAGAAATGCGGTCGTCGGCGTGCGGAGATGCTTGCCATGGCGAAGCGGAGGTTGTCGAGGACGTCCGTGGTGCCGCTCGCTTCAGGGGCTCGGCGGCAGGGAGGTCAACAGGAAAGGAAGAGGAAGAAAGAAGAAGATGCGGGGAAGGGAACTAGCAGTTTGGAGGCCGGGCACCAGATAGGCCGGTATCTGGGCCGTGCAATGAGTTTTGGGATTTGAAATGCGTCAGGCTTTTGACAGGCTGCTGTGGGCCTAGGCATCCACCAGAATACATCGGCCTAGCGTACATGTTTGGCCCATATCGCTGCTCGGGTGCCTTCTCCTGTCGTTATCCTTGACCTCGTGGAATAGTCCCAGCCACGGAACAACTCTGCTTCTCCGCTCCCTTGTCTCTCCCTGGCCGACGCCGGCGCCGCCGCTCTCCGGCAAGATGTTTGGGGTCTGCTGCGACATGTATGTATATTACTCCCCCCTTCATTCTGGTGTCCTGACATGCTTAATCGCCCGGCATGCTTTGTGGATTTGGATTTGGTCGACCACGCCGCCTGCTTATCTTTCAGATTCTCCTCTACAGCATGTTCTTATTGATTTGGTTTTCCTCGTCCGCGGGCTGCCAGTTCTAGACACTGACCCTCTAGCCATGATGAGGCCGGTCAAGAAGTAGCAGGCTTCTCTTAGCATCGCCAATGAGGAAATATGTCGTGCCGGGAAACTATGCCAGGCAAAGTGTTAGATTCCCCCTGAATTCGATGGGATTCATGTGTGATTTGAAGCTACCAGCGGCTGGACCCCAGAGATTCCCCCTGAATTCTCTTATTGTTGGATGCCATGAAAACGAAAACTTCTCTTGTATACGAGGACAGTAGATTGTTTGATCTATGACTAATGTAAATTTCAGTGCTTGGTTAACAGTCGTTATTTTCTGATTCTTCGGGCAGTTAATTGAGGTCTGGTGTGCTATCCGTATCGACTAATGTAAATTTCAGTGCTTAGCAAATTCTGGGATATTAGGAGCGCATGGCATCGGGACTCGTTTTGTTCTAGGTGTCGGCCTAAACAAATTTGTGTTAGAGGCTGCGTTGGTGGCACAAACGAGTTACTTGCTGATGTTTTCTTCTGGTCACACCTGAAAACACAATTGCGCATTTTATTTTTTGGTATTGAAAAAAAATCAAGTACGCTGTCATTTGGCTAAACTTTGTCAATGGCTGAATTTAGGATTTTCATGTACTAACCAATGCACCGTGGGATGAAATTTCGTCACCTCCCAGGTTGACAGAGATGGAATAAACCACCTTTTTCATAGATTCACATTCGAAGAGTGCTATGCGTCGGCACGTTGCAGGTTTATTGTTAATCTGTAATTTACAGCATTAAATAAACCCACTATTATCATGCGGATCATGTTCTATCTCTGAGTGTTTACGTGGAACCATCAACCACCTTCTTTCTCCCTCAATACACGCTGCGGTGCAGCGAAGCGATACAAGGGGACAGCACGCTAGAATACTGGGGAAGCTCAAATCCCTATAGCACGCCAACGGCCAGGATTAAGGCCTACCTGATGCTCGGCCTCCATTGGCATTTTCCGACTAGCAGAGGCGCTAGGTTGGGGTTGGGGATCGATGGGATGACAGCCTGCGGTTGTGAGCATGTCCAGCGAAGCGATCAGGACGAGGTCGACCTGGGCTGGGCCTTGGCTGCTGGTCGTTTGATGGGCTCTCACCCACCGAAATAGACCTTTGTACGGCGGGTAATCTCTCAAATACCACGCAAACTCAAATTTATTTTATAATGTCAATTGTAACATACGGTCTATTTTGCACGTATGATTTTCATGAATTGCGAATCTGTTTTGAAAATATATATATATATATATATATATATATATATATATATATATATATATGGATACACGTCAAAGTTTCCCCTATTGCAACACACGATACATTAATGGTACGGTGCCTACAAATGATAGTGGACAAGAAAGGAACAATGTTGGAGTAATATTGCTCAAACTTTGTTCGAATTGGATTATTTCTCTTCGCCCGCCAGGAGACCAGGGAGCAGGTTGGTACTCCGTCATCCTTGATAAGAGTACTATTGCTCAAGCTTTGCTAGAATTGTATTATTTCTCTCCTTAACTCTGGGCAACCAGAGTACGCGATAATCCGTGATAGATGCATGTAGAGCTTTAGCAACAGGCACGGTCAACATGACGTCACAGTTTGGGACGAGCGCACTCAAGTTTTGTAGTAGAGATGTAGTACCGGTCATTGCCACCCTTGAAATGAGGAGCACCCTTTCGTTGAATCCAATGCTCACCTTTTCACACGCAGGGTCCATCGCCTTTTTCGTTTTTATTTACTCCCTCCTTCACGGTTTAGAAGGCGCGCTTGGAAATTCACTGGGACCTAGGTGGTTTTCTATTGGTTGTGAGATGGGCTAAAAAATAGCATTCGCACTACGCATGCATATAGAAATAGTATATCGGAGTACTAATTAGCTACTAGAAATAAATGCAATGCGCTCTAAACCTTGTCTATTGTGGAAACGCACGCAAATTTAACTGTGCCTTCTAAACTGTGACGGAGGGAGTATAAACTCCCCAAAGCTCACTACTCCCAAGTGATGTTGCCGTGCGCGAAGTAACCGTCGCTTCCATTTCATGCTCACCCACCGCGCGCGACCGCGACCCCTCCTTCCGCCGTGCCACCCGCCCACCCCACCACCCTCGCCACTGGTTGAGAGCCGGGCGAATGCGGAGTTCCTTGCACCAAAGAATTTCTGGATGAGGGAGATGACAAAGAAGAAGAAGCAGAAGAAGCTGGCGATTTGTGTTGATCCCAGCGATAGTGATGAGGCGGCGATGGCAAGGTTCGCGTGGGAGCATCCGGAGTATCTCCAGGACGAGCGCGAGTTGTTCTGGAAGCGCGAGACCGACAGAAGAAGAAGAGGGTGAAGACGAAGGGCAAGGCCGGACCCTCGGCAGTGATCCCCGTCGAGTCTAACTATGAGGAGGACAATTTCAAGGTTGAGGACTCCGATGGGTATTCGTCGGACGAGGCACTCTGGGAGAGTTAGAGCATCTACAGCCGGACTTGACAAATTCGGCCCCTCAAAGGCCCGCGGACGCGTCAGGGCATGCCTGCGGGCGCATCCGGATGGGCTCTCATATAACCGCAGCAATCCCTTGCATGGTCATGTCCACTTCTTCGTTTCAATCCGACGAATCGAAGAACTCATCTTGAATCATTTGGTCAAGCTCCGTCGGTCCATACTCCTCGTCCATTGAAGCATCGGAGTCCATCATTTACCTAACAAAATCACAATAGTTCTGGACGGTCAATGTGTCGAACACATCAAGCGCAAGGCGGAGCCGGAGAGTTGTAGGACGTACCACGGTGGCGTCCGGGCCGGCGACGACGTCCCCCGTGGCAAGGTCGGGAGCGCTCTTCCGGAGCTGGCGGCGGAGAGCCTGGGAACGGTTGCGGAGCAGGCACGGCGGCGGAGCGCGAGACGGACGGCGTGGAGGAGGAAGAAGAGAGGAGATAGCAAAAGGATCCGGCTGGTCTTCGGGGTGGATCTGGTGCAATTTGGGGTGGGGTCGGGCTGTCGGGTCCGACGTGGCGGGCGTGCCCGGGCGCCCCCATATCCGTCCCATATTTAGGCTGATGATGGGGGGTGCCGGTCAGCCCAGGCGTTTGAGGGCCGTTTGAAAGGCCCGTCTGAGTCAAAAAATCGTTACCGGGCAGTGACCGGGCGGCCCGCCCGTGCGTATGAGGCGGGTTTGAGAGGTCCCATTGTAGATGCTCTTAGATGTAGTATTTTATGTTTTATGTCGAACTTTATGTTGTATGCACTATGTTGGAATTGGTTCTTTTTTAATACGTAAAAAACATTTTTTTTTGGTGATGTAAATTATATATACAACCCATACTTTTACATCTCCAAATGTATAAGGAGATGCTCTAAGACGAGGCGATGTTATTATTTACAAAGAACGTCTAGAAGCAGAATTTACGTGGAGACACACGGTTTTCACGCTAGAACGAGCTAGGCGATATATTTCACTTAAATTAGGACTCTTTCCAGTCGTACGCGGAGACAAATGAACGGTATACCAACCGACCTGGGAGTTACCACCAACTTAGCATATATATATAGATGAACACATGACCAAGAGCCAAGATCCAACCACAGCTAGCGATTAGTCATGGAGGCTTCCCATTGCCTGCCCTTCATCCCACTCTGTCTCCTACTAGCCACGTTAGCCCCAGCCAAGGCAGTGCGAGTGCCATCCCTGCAAGAACAAGCAGGAGCGCTCCTTGCCTGGAAAGCCACGCTCCAAAGCCACCCACCCCAGCTGAGATCCTGGGGAAGGGGACACCACCACAGTACATGGCCGTGCAGCTGGCATGGCATCACATGCGGCAAGGACGGAGCGACCCACCATGAGGTGATCACCGAGATCTCTCTGCCGGGGCTGCGGCTGAGGGGGGAGCTCGGCGCCCTCAACTTCACGGCGCTGGCGACCCTGACGAGCATCCAGCTCTCGCACAACAGGCTCACCGGGAGGATCCCGCCGAGCATCGCGTCACTCGGAGAGCTCCGGTTCCTGCTTCTTCGGCGCAATCAGATAAGGGGCCCTTTACCACCTGCTCTTGCATCCTTGAGAAACCTACGCTGCTTAATGCTCCAGGAGAATCAACTCTCTGGTGAAATGCCAAGGCAAATAGGGCAACTAGAGGGACTTGTGGTGTTGAACCTGTCTGCCAATCAGTTGTCCGGTCCCATCCCCAGTGAACTAGGCTACCTAAAGAAACTGCTCAGGGTAGATATCGCCGGCAACAACCTCACAGGCCCCATTCCAAGTAATTTAGGGAATCTCACTAAACTCACTGTCTTGTACCTTTATGGTAACCAATTATCTGGATATCCTCCTCGAGAGCTAGGGTACCTTGTGAATCTAAAGGAGTTGGATCTCTCCCACAACAAGTTGATGGGTTTCATCCCCGGTACCTTTGGAGGCATGATCAACCTCACACTCTTGTCCCTAGCGGATAACCAACTTTCCGGATGCATTCCTCCAGAGCTAGGTAGCTTGTTGAATCTAAAAGAGTTGTACCTTGAAAACAACAAACTTGTTGATTCCATCCCTAGTACCTTCTTGAATTTAACAAACCTCACTGGCTTGTACCTATCGGGTAATCAACTTTCTGGGTCTATACCTCGAGAACTAGGTTACATGGTGAATCTAAAAGAGTTGGTTCTTAGCTCCAACAATTTCAACGGCTCCATACCTAATACCTTTGGGAGTTTGGTTAACCTCACTGAATTGTATATATGGAATAATACACTCTCTGGGTGTATACCTCAAGAACTAGGTTACCTAGTGAATCTTGAAGAATTGGATCTTAGTTGCAACAAACTAATGTGTACTATTCCCAAAAACTTTGGCAGTTTTAGTAACCTAACTATCATGAACCTTCGTGATAACCATCTCATGGGTTATATCCCCAATATCTTTGGAAATTTGACAAAGCTCGCTACCTTACACCTCGATGATAATCAATTCTCTGGATATGTTCCTCTAGAAATTGGCACCTTATGGAATCTCAAAATTCTAGAACTCGACAATAATAATCTCTCTGGTCCCCTACCACCTGGGTTGTGCTCTGGAGGCAAGCTCATGTATTTAACTGCATCTAATAACAGTCTGGATGGACCACTTCCATCAAGTTTTCTACACTGCAGAAGCCTATTTAGAGTTCGTCTAGAAAGGAATCAAATAGAAGGAGATATTTCTGAGTTGGGAGGTCATCCAAGTCTTGACTATATGGATATGAGCTCGAATAAACTCTTTGGAAAATTATCTTCTCTTTGGGGGGGAAGTCAGAATATTACCATGCTACGCCTCTCAAACAACAACCTGACAGGGGAAATACCCATAAATATGGGGCAGCTAACTCAGCTAGGGATACTTGATCTCTCATCAAACAAGCTTGAAGGAGATATTCCAATTGAACTGGGCAATCTAAAAAACTTGTTCCAGTTGAACCTCGCGGACAATTTGCTCCATGGAAGCATACCACAAGAAATCGGAGCACTATCTAGTCTACAGTTATTCGATTTGTCATCAAATAACCTAAGTGGTTTGGTACATGGGTCAATTGGGAATTGTTTAGAGCTTCGCTCATTGAACCTGAGCGGAAATAACTTTACAGGAAACATCCCTACCGCATTAGGGGTGTTGCACAACTTACAATACATGTTGGATTTGAGTGATAATTCATTTACTGGGGCAATACCAAGCCAACTTAGCGGCCTGATCATGCTAGATACTTTGAATCTTTCACACAATGAACTTAATGGATCCATCCCTCAATCATTTAAGAGTATGGAAAGCTTGATATCCGTTGATGTATCTTACAATGAATTGGAAGGAGTAGTCCCTGAGAGTAAGCTTTTTCAAGGAGCCCCGTTGACGTGGTTCATGCATAATAAGATGCTATGTGGTGTAGTGACCGGACTCCCCCATTGTAGTAGTACAACTGTAAACCAAGGGAAAAGAAAAGGATACAAAACACTTGTACTAGCAGTGGTTCCTGTGCTGATGTCTCTTGTTCTTGTTGTATTTGTATTGATGTTTCAACATGAAAGGAACAAATCCAAGGCAATTGACACGGACAAAGTAACACAAAAAAATGTGTTCTCTATTTGGAGTTTTGATGGGGCAAACGTGTTCAAACAAATTGTTGAAGCAACCAATGATTTTAGCGAGATTCATTGCATAGGAACTGGGGGATATGGATCTGTCTACAAGGCTAGGCTTCCAACATCGGAAATATTTGCGGTGAAGAAGATGTGCGTTATTGAAGATGAGAATTGCATGAAGGGGTCACTCTTCCATCGTGAAATTGAGGCATTGGTACAGATTCGGCATCGGAACATCGTAAAACTATTCGGGTATTGTTCCTCTAGCCAAGGAAAGTTCCTTATATATGAATATATGGAGAGAGGAGACTTGGCAGAAGCACTGAGGGTCGATCGAAGGGCAGTTGAGTTGGACTGGAGAAGGCGGATACATATTGTGCTAGATGTGGTTCACGCTTTGGCCTACATGCACCATGATTGTTGGTCACCAATAGTGCACAGAGATATAACAAGTAAAAACATTTTGCTTGATCAGGAATTTAGAGCTTGCATCTCTGATTTCGGTACGGCTAAAATTCTAAATATTGACGGCAATAATATCACAAGGCTTGCAGGGACAAAGGGTTATCTAGCCCCAGGTAAACAAAAATCAAACCCTTTTTTTTCTTTTCTTTTTGCGGGTAACAAAAAAATGCACATTATGGGACGGAGGGAGTACTAATTAATATTCAATGATTGCAGAGCTTGCATATACAGAAAATGTGACGGAGAAATGTGACGTATACAGCTTTGGGGTGCTTGTCATGGAGCTCTTTATGGGGTCTCATCCAGGCGAATTGCTCTCATCCCTCTCTGAGGCCAGCAAGAATAATACTGTGAGCCTGCAACATCTGCTGGACTCAAGGCTCGAGCTCCCTGATGCTGAAACCGCAGGAGAAATATACCACATGCTCAATGTTGCAGTTCAGTGCCTGGAGCCAAGTCCATCACGGAGACCAACAACGCGACGTGCTAGTGATGAGCTATCTGCTAGCAAAGCATTTGAAGGTCATGTTCGTTATCTGCATGCTGGCCTCACCATTCCCACTCACTAGTTCTCGTGGCCGTGGATGATGAATTCGTGCCATATAGTTTCTTCTTTGCTACCTACCTACCTAGTTGAATAAAAGTGTAGTTGGCCTGTATCTAGCAAGAACAGGGCTGTGCTATTTCTAGTTGAAATGAAATTTCTTGTTGAACCTTAATAAGTTGATGAGCTTTACCGATTTACTATTGGTTATTTATTATTATTCTATGTTTTCTTGATGAGACTATGTGCAAATGTTTTTTTCTCTTCCCACAATAGATGATGTCAGTTGCTCTCTTTCTCTGCACTTCTATGGAAGGTGCAATTTACAGTTGGTACTAATGGTATAATTTATACCTATATGGAGCATGTATTGTTAGTGTGAGTTCTTGCTTGGTTATTATTGACAAACGGACAAGTGCTAAATTGTGTAGTCAAACTACTTTCTTTAGGTCCTTCCTAATTTTGTTGTGAACATTCAGGAAAGATTGTTTGTGTCCTGATAGCATACTATAGACTATATCAGATTATCAGTGTAAGTGGAACATGGATACTTGAGCAGTATGTAATGTTACAAAAATGACAGTAAAATGGCAGTACAAGTGCCATTATATTGTATTGTATATACATTTGGTACAGGGGTGATTATATTCTATACATGTTGTACAGAATGGCACTAGTTTGGTGCCCTGTTGCATTTTACTGCAACAGAAAAGAGTACTACAAGATCTTCATGAAATCCTCCTCAATTATGCTTCATGTCTGATCCTGTAAAAACAGAGTGTTGATCTATATATGCACCGGGTGCCGAATTTCTTTTCGCCGATTCGTGGGGGGCGGCCTCAAGCTGTTTCCTGTAAAAATTCTTGATTGCCATTCATTTTGGCTTGAGCTGTTGAGCAACATATGAGTTGCCAAACTGTTAAATCTTCAGTCATCTTCCATGGCATCGTCAATTAAGCCCTATCTGACAGAGCTGCTTCTCCATACATATATACATAGATCAGGAGAGAGCTCGGCGAAGACGATCCTAGTCGGCTCGTTAGTTGGGCACTGGCTCGAAGAGCACGGCGATCGGGCTGCGCACGGAGCGCTTGCCGGAGACCCACCGGAGGCTGCCCTCGGCGGTGCCCACGGCGGCGGCATTGGGGCCTCGCTTGAGCTTCACCGTGAACTCCATCCTCTGGTTTACTAACCCGAATGTCAGCACGTTGGGCACCACCTCGACGGCGACGCCCTCCGGCGGGACGACCTCGAGGGTGTACGCCGACACGGGCTCCCCGAAGTTGGTCACCGCGCGCTTGACCTCGACCTCCGGCGCCGCCGGCGTGAGCGTCACCATGATCGACGGGTAGTTGAGGTCCTTGCCCTGGATCCTCCCCGCCTTGGCGCAGCTCACGTTCTGCAGTGGCTGCGCCATGATCTCGCTCATCACGCTCTCGTTGTACCCGAGCCCGCACACGTACGGGATGTAGTCCGCCGGCGCCAGGTCGTAGACGAGCCCCGGGTCCAGCGCCCGCGTCGGGTTCACGAACCCGGCGCCCATGGCGAAGCAGTTCGGCTTCCCGGTGGTCTCGTCGACGATCGGCGTGCCGTCCGGGTGCGTCACGTCGGCGGTCGTCATCAGCGCCGACTTGATCGCCGCCGGTGACCACTGCGGGCGCGCTTTCTTGATCATGGCCACGATCCCGGACAGGTGCGGCGTGGACATGGACGTGCCGCTGTGCAGCCCGAAGGTCCTGGTCGGCGCGGTGCCGTTGGCGCCGCCGGGGACGGAGGCGGCGATGGCCGTGCCGGGCCCGGTGATGTCCGGCTTCAGCACGCCGACGCTGGACATGTTGCAGGGCCCTCTCGAGGAGTACTCGGCGATGGCCGGCAGGGAGGCCCGGTTCAGCACGGCGCCGGCGAAACTGAGGCTGGCCGTGGGGTTGGGCGTGGAGTTGACGTACGCTATGATCTTCTCGCCGTCGGCGTGCGTCACCCGCGCCGCGGCGATGGTGAGGTCGTCCACGGGCGTGGTCGCGGCGCCGCGCTTCGGGCCGGACCAGCTGACCATGCCCACGCCGCCGGCCTTCTGGATCATCTCCGCGAGCATGAACGGGTCCTCCTTGCGCTGGCACGCCACGATCTTGCCCCGGACGTCGACGGCGCTGAGCGCGCCGTCGGCGAACATGCCCGCGATGAAGACGAGTGGCCTGTCCTTGACGAGCTCGTACGGGTTCAGGTTCTCGCCCTCCATCACCACCCCGTTGCCGAGCTCCACCCTGGAGACCATGCGGCGGCCCATGGTGCTGGCGGCGACGGTGAGCAGCCACGGGGCGCAGTTGGTGACGGTGCGCTCGAGCGGGCCGGCGTTCCCGGCGCTGGTGCTGACGAAGACGCCGGACAGGACGGCGGAGAAGCTGCCGACGGCGATGAGGTCCTTGTAGAAGGGCTTCTGCGTGTCGTCGCCGATGGACATGGAGATGACGTCGACGCCGTCCTGGAACGCGCCCTTCTCGGTGACGGAGAGGACCTCCGTGGCGGAGCAGGTGTCGGCGAGGCACACCTCGTAGAAGGCCAGGTGCGCGCGCGGGGCCATGCCGGAGGCCGCCCCGGCGGGGGCCCCGAGCAGCTGGACGTCCCGCACGAACGCGCCGACGGCGGTGCCGGAGGTGTGCGTGCCGTGCTCCTGCGGGGCCCTGGACCGGCCGCCGATGAGCTTCTTGTTGCAGGGCGCCCCGCCGGCGAAGTGGCACCCGCCGCGCCACTTGGCGGGCGGCGGCTGCATGCCGTCGTCCAGGAACGAGACGTGCCGCGGGTCGATCCCGTTGTCGAGGACCCCGACGATGACGCCCTCCCCCATGCTCCCGGCGACGCTCCACGCGCCCGTGGCCGGCGCGGACACCCCGAGCAGCTCCGGCGTGTAGGTGGTGGTGAGTCGCAGGGTGGCGTCGGGGAGCGCCTCGACGCACCAGGGCAGCTTGGAGAGCTCGGCGACCTCGCGGTCCGTGAGGCGGGCGGCGAAGCCGCTGACGACGTGCTGGAAGGAGAAGACGAGGCGCGGGCCGACGTGGGAGAGCGCCTCGCGGAGGACCATGTCGGTGGTGGTGTTGAGCAGCGACGCCAGCAGCGAGGCGTGCCACTCCCGCAGCTCCTCGCCGCCCTTGGGCCCGGTTGCGCGGCACACGATGATCAGGTACGTCTTCAGGCCGGATTCCTCGAAGTCCTCGCCCCCGGGCTTCCCCCCGCCTTGCCCGGCCCCGGCGGCGGCATTGGGAGCGGGCTGCTGGGCGTCGGCCCCGCTTACGGTGCCCGCGGAGGCGGCGAGCAGCAAGAGGACGCCGGCGAGGAGGAGGAGGGGTGGGGGTGGGGCGCGCATGGTGGCGGGGGGAGGCGGTGGGGGTGGTGGTTGGCTGGCTTTAACGGCGAGCGGCGCGAGGCGGAGGCGACGACGGCCATGCGATCCATGGAGGCGAGCTCGCTATGTTTAGCGGGAGGAGAGCTGGAACGTGGGATAGATAAATTTGGCAGCTCGACGGGCCAGCCTCAAAAGCGCAGGCCCCGGAATTGGGCCGCGGGTGCTGAATTCGGCCCGGCGTGGGCTTAACTTGTGGAATCACAAGTTGAGGTGTGTGTTTTTTTGTCCAATGGGGACATGAACTTTTGTTTGAGAAAATAAAACCGGGGTAAATCTCCGGCCACGGCATTGATGTTTTTTTTTGCACACACAACTATACTGTTATATGATTTATTTATTTTTATTTAACTTTTTTATTTTAGAAGTCGGCGCATCCATTGCTCTGGCCACGTGGTATGTCGTGTATTTGTTTGAATTTACACACGTCTGTTTTCTCCTCGTGCGATGGGAAATGGAACTCGGTGTTTCCATCATGTTGCGCATTATTTTCAAGAAATATTTTTCTTGCTTACACGTTCCGAAAATATGACTTATAATCATTTCAGATATTGGAGTAATGAGAACTTTTGACAAACACTAACTTGAGATGCATGCATATCCGTATATTTGGTCGAAAACAGGCTTTTAGTGAAAATAGGCGTGAAGAAGCTTTGGACATATAACTTAAAAAAGGTTTGATGCTTGTGAGGCATTGCAGTATAGACTGCAAATCCAAAAGTTCACCTCATTTGCATTTGTAGTAGTCTAGAAAGAAAATCAAACATGAATAGTGTTTTCTTGCTGTTTTTCAGTTGCAACCGGTACTCGGACGCGGAGTTTCTCAGTCCGCGCTCAAATGAGTTTAGGTGAACAGTAATTTTGACCAAAAAAATCCAAGAATAATTCAAAAAATACTGATTTTTTTATGACAAACATTGACAGATGTTTCGAGTGCTTGCCAAGATTTGTCGTGGAATCACATTCCTGAAAGGCGTGGCAAAAAAAAAAGACAAAGTCGATACTCCCAAAAATGCTACTTCCGAAAGCATTTTGGAGCAATGAAACTTCGCAAGCTCTTACAATATTTGTCAAAGTTTGCCATATTTTTTTTGAACTTTTTTCAATGTTTCCTTTATGTACTGTTTACCCGGGTGTCGAAGAGGACCTCCGCCGGTACTCTTTTCTCCGTGTTTCGTTTTCACAGCATGTTCCGTGTTGACCACTCGTACTCATATTGTTGTACAGCACAATCCTTTTGGAAAATTTACACGCGATTTCTACCGGTGAATGTCGTCATCATCAAATAATTCCATGAGAGAAGACAGGCCTCTACGGGAGAGCGCGGCGCGTAAGTTGCAAGCGGCAAAGACGGCAACAAGACGAGGAAAAGGGGAATTCGGAAAGCTCCGGATGGATGGATGTTGGTGATGTGGATAGCAATTGGCAAACGGAGGTCACTATCATCGCGCCAACGGACCAACCGGAGGCCATTGCCGGTGACACACACGCGCGCACTTATAACTGTTGTTTACCCTGAGACGGATGGCGTCGTTGTCCACCAAACGAAAGGAACTCTCCACTTTTCCTTTTGTGTACGTCGTTGCCTTGTGCGTCCATGTGGATGTGTATGTATGGCCGATGGGGGTAGG